CGATGAGTAGAACAAGACTCCAGCATGTGGGTGAGACAATGCACAAAAAAAAAGAGAGCGAGAGAGAGAGACAGATCTCCAGTGAAGTAGAACAGCATATAGCACCGGCATGTTAAAAACTCATTTTAAGCCCTTCAAGCATTTTTAACGTCTCTTCTTGGAAACGACAAGAAACTTAAGTATTGTTGAACTGTCTCTGATTTGACTAAACATGGCACTGCACAGCTTTTGTGTGAATACAATATTGCTACTATTCCTGCTTAATAATAATAAGACAAGAAAACTACCATCTCTAGAGTGTGTCAAAAAATGTTCCTTTCAGGTTTTAAATGTCTGAACATGGGTTCAAGGTTAAACATACTAAATCAGAGCCTTGGCTTAGTGGTTAACATGCACGCTCTTACACACTGAACTGCAGTGCTCATATGGATAGCTAGCTCAAGCGGTAGAGAATGGTGCTAGCAACACCAAGGTCATGGGTTCGATTCCCGTGAATAATGCATGAACTGATAAAGTTGCTATGGATAAAGTGTCAGCTAAATGCATGTGAATATAAAATATAATGTATTAGATGCAACACCCTCTTAACGGAACAAAAAATACAGAAGACATGTTTATTTCAGACATGACAAAGAAAATGCCATTCACATAATTAAACATGCAATGCAAAATGAATGCATGTCAATTGTTTCGCCTAAAGGGGTCATATAATGGTACATGCACTTTTACAAGTTGATTGTACTGAAATGTGTGTTGGCAGTGCCTGTACACAACCATCATAAAATGATAAAAATCCATCCAGTGGTTTTGTTTTAATCTCCTTATATGTTTTCCCCTGCCTCAAATCAAGCCGTTCGACCGTGTGACGTCACACACTCGGAAGCCCCTCCCACGATTGTTGATTGACAGGAGCGTTTCAACACAGACCCGCCCTCGCTCATGAGCCAGCTGTCAATCATAGTCTGCGCGGACCGGCGAGGTCATTGTTGATATGCTGGAGCTGTCTATGAGCAGAATGGCGTCTAAGCGATTGTGGTTTTCTGTTCTTGGGTGTAATAACGAACACAGCAGTCATTTTGATGTTCCTAAATCCGAACCACTGAAGACGCAGTGGCTGAGTTTTGTTTTCGAAGGGAATATTCCCCACGAGCAACATCAATGCTGTCATGTTTGCGCGAATCATTTCTCACCAGACTGCTTTATAAACGAGGGTCAGTATAAAGCTGGTTTTGCTAAGAAGCTGCTCATGAAAAAAGGATCGGTAGCTGCTACCAGATATTCGTGTTCCTGCTGAACCTCTAGAGGAACTGAAATGAGTGTAACGTTTTATTAAACTTTATATTAATATATTAATCTTTGCAAATCGCTAGCTGCACGCTTCACAATGAATGCGTCTAAGGTTTACACTCAGGGTACATTACGGCATGTTTTCTATGTATGACGTTCTCAATATAATTCATAATCCCACGTCTATAATGAACAACGCGTTATGGTTATTGTGTTACAAACGGTGTATGCACAGAACAGAGGGGCGGAGTGAGCGCAGCTCATTATCATTTAAAGGCATATGCACTGAAACGGCGTGCTGAAAACAGAGCTGTTTTTGACCAGTTAAAATAAGTGTTTTCTTACAATACTAATGAGAATTTTTAATTAAAGTATATTACAAACTTTTAATTTAGACCCTAAAGAATCGTATTAGCTTGTACAAAAATGGCATTATATGACCCCTTTAATAAGACCTCAATGTATCTTCGGGAGCCACGGGTATAGGTTTGTTTTGCCTATTTTCGTTTTTTTTTACTCCCAAAGTGACGGTAACAATTGACTTGCATTATATGAATAACCAAGGACCAGTTTCAGCTAAAAATCCTTACTGTTCTACTGAAGAAAAAAGTCACCTATATATCTTGGATTGCCTGAGGGTGAATTAAATTAACAGCATTTTTTCAGTTTTGGGTGAACTATCCCTGGCAATAGCCACTCACTGCAGGGCAGGAGATGCAGACGATCATTACTACATTATTTAAGATGACACACCTCTCCTGGGAAGATTAATAGGCTTTTCCTGATATACTGGAGATGGTGTGTCATCAACCCTGAACATGTGAACTGTCGCATTTGTGAAAGAATCATTTTTTTAACCGATGCTTTGTCGTTTGTCCAGACCCATTCACAAAAGCGTTTGTAAACCATTTGATTGTAGTTTGGGAACTGTAATAAACTCACTCTGTAAAACAAAACAAGTTCAACAAAATGAATCAGACTTCCCAGCGTGAACACAAACAGGTGTGTATACAGTACACAAATAAATACAAACACATACGTTGTAAACACATGCTCCTCACAGGTGCATCTGCTACACCAACATAAATCACTATAATCACACACGTGTGTTTTGCACACCCCCTGAAGTGTGATACCTTATCCTCCAAGCTAATTTTCACCTTCAGCATCAGTCGTGCAACTGCTTATACTCCATTTATCAAGCAGCAGCACAATCTGTACCAGCTAATTCTCCAGCACGCAAGCAAACGGAAGCCCAGCGGTGCTACGACTGCTCCGTCTGATCCTGTTTGGCTCAAATATCAGTTGTTCTTGCCCTTTTTTTTAAAAGAAAAACGTCGATATCTGCGAGTGTAAAAGTGTTTTAACTCCCCAATGACCCTGGAATTGGTAGAGAACTGGAATTGTACGAAAATGTTAACCGTTCACATTCTTAAAACAGTTAATGGTTGCCTGAAATTATTTGAGTTGCACTATGAGTTGCAACTCATACTAGTCAGGATTTCGATTAATCCCAATGACTCTTTTGAATCAGTTCACCAAAAAGATTCGTACACTGATTTGTATTTTTTGGGGATGTCTTTGTAATCTTTATACAACAGTTCAAAAAAATGTAGAGCATAACAGAGGTGTTCCTGAATAAATAATCAGTGTTCACCCAAAAATGTAAATTCTGTCATTAATTACTCACCCTCATGTTATGCACTTCATAACACAAATGAAGATATTTTTAATCAAATCTGAGCCAGTTCTGTACTCTCCATCCAATTGACTCCATCCTGCTTGACGCGAGAGAAGGAACCTCATTGGTTCTTGCTGAAGCTCAAACGTGATGCGTAACACGAGAATGAACCTCATTGGTTCTTGCTGAAGCTCAAACGTGATGCGTAACACCTGAGAATGAACCTCATTGGTTCTTGCTGAAGCTCAAACGTGATGCGTAACACGAGAATGAACCTCATTGGTTCTCGCACGTCAAGTGAACATGCTTGAGCTTCCGTTTTCCACGACTGATGTGTGAGTTGATGAATGTTTATATGTAAATAAAAGCCTAAATTAAATCTGTTCATCATATAAGTGATCAAGTGATCGAGTCTTCAGAAAATTCGGACTAAACCGTTCAATTCATATGGATTAGTTTTACGATCTCTTTATGAACTTTTTGAAGCGTCAAAGTGGTAGTTGTGTAGCTGTCAATGGAGGGACAGAAATCTCTCAGAATTCATAAAAAAGATCTTCATTTTTGTTACGAAGATGAACGAAAGTCTTACGGGTTTGGAACGACATGAGGGTGAATAATTAATGACAGAATTTACATGTTTGGGTGAACTATCCCTTTAAATGATTCAATGAATCACTTATAAAAACAGTGGCTGCGTCCGAAATCATCCATCATATGCACACTTCAGAATCCCACCGGAAGTAGTAAGTCATTCTAGTACTTTATGTCTTTGTGAATTCTGACATACTACTTTTGTCACTTACTGTTTTACTGGGGTTTTTTTTAACCTAGGCTACTATATAGTAGGGAAGTATGTGATTTCGGATGCAGCCATTTTTTGGCTGAATGAATCAGTGTTTTTGAACAAATTGGTTTAAACAATGATTCAAATCCCACATGAATTAATGGTTCAAGTCCCAGTGCTGTTAGGCCGAGCTTGAGAGCGTTTTGGCAGCGCAGCGTTTTTTCAGTTGAGACGCTTCGTTGCTATGATACAGAATATCCGCAGCACAGTTTACTTATAACTGATTTCGCAGATAATTTGTTTCATACTAAAAAATATATTTTTCATCCATTTTGTTCGGTTTGCTCTGCTGGATGATGTCGTTGTACAGAAAGAATGTTGTGACAGTTGGTCGGTGTGGGGTTAGCCCCGCCCCTCCTCCACTGTGATTGGACGGCTGGGTAAAAAGTGACAGTGATGAGCGCTGCGTTTTACCCAAAGTTGAACATTCTTCAACTCTCGGCGACCTGTAAAAACGGCGAGCTCTCAGTGTGAAAAAAACGCTCAGGGCCTCGTTACGCTCATGGGGTTCTAAAAACGTGGTGCTCCCATTGAAAACAATTGAAAACATACGCCATACGCCAGACGCGTGGAAAAACGCTTTGGTGGACACACGGCCTTAGAAATGCACATCAGCGCTCCTGGAAAGCCGCTCTGCCAATCAGATTACAGAGACGTACTATTAACAAACTATTATTCATTTATATTTGAAAAATGCAAATCTACAAATTTATCATGTCTACAAATAATTAAAAAAACACTGATTAGTTCACAAACAAAGCATCGCTAGGAACTCAAATGATAAAAAAATAATAGTATTCACTTCCCACAGGCCATTTAAGTAGAGCCAGGTTTTCCAGTGCATCAGGCAAGACGACGCCATGAATTTTGCAATGCCGTCTGGCCACTGTCCAAACACATAATGGACCATAAAGCTTCAAGATTAGACACAACTATCCTGATCCTCCAAGTACAGTAGACAAGCCGCACCTTCAGTAAAACTCTGTCTAATGCCTGTTCCTAAAGCATGCTATTCACAGAAGCTTTTTAGTCCTTCTTCATCATATGTCCTGTGATATGTCATTTGCATTCAGTGATGAAAATAACTTTCCTTAACCTCTTTGACTCAATGTTATATTCGAATAGAATTGTGCTCTACCATTATATTAAGCCAGCTAAACTAGTTTCCAACTCATTCTTTCTTCTCACCTTTAAAGCGCAGTGCATTGGCTAGGATCATGGCTCCAGGTTTGGTCTCGAGCGCTTGTTCCAGAGCTGCTGTCTCTTCCCCATCCATCCCATTTTTAGCCCAGGACTGGAGCATCTCCATGTCAGTCTCTTTCTGTGCATCCTCCAGGGCCACATGCTGCAACCCAAAGTGGGTCTGGAGCTTCTCCAGAAAGCTCTTCTCCAGTTCAGGGGCTTGTTTGGAAAACAGTGCGGAGGAACTGTGCAATGTGTAGCTGGTTCCATTAGCTTCACGCACAGATTTCAGCGCCCTGGTCAAAGCTTCTCCAACCGCTTTCTCATTTTTGGTGATCCTCAGGAGATCATGAAACTGGGCTACTGTGGATCCATTAGCTCCACCTCCTAGAGCCAGCAGAGAGTTGGCCAACAGAAGCGGGGAGATGATGGGGTTGGTCTTGGAAGCGTCGATGCGGATCGACCTGTACAGCTGCAGTCCCAGGCTCCAGGTGGGGTGATGTAAGCTGGAGATTTCTGGCTGAGGCGAGTCTTGAACTTTGGGTTCCTGTGGAGTAGATGACCAGACGCTCTGTAGAGCCAACAGTAGTAGAGACAGGAGAGGGACAGGAGACATGGGCAGCATTGCAGGTCTGGAGAGAAAGCGAAAGAGAAGAAAACATAAAAATATTATTCTACAAATGTTAAGTATCTTAGGGGCCATTCACACAGATTGCATTTTCTATTCCATGGCGCTACTTTTCCATTGTTTTTCAATGTAAATACGCTAGACAGACGTATTTGACGTCATAACACTGCACTCAAGTTTTAAGTAATTCAACTTTTTAAAAAACTGAGTTTTTTTCCCCCTATCCAATGCCCAAGTTCTGCGAAAATAAAATATCATGCTGTGTGAAGGGCCTGTGAATTCAAACTGATCTCATTTACTTAAAACATGTTCATAATTCAATTCATAATTCCCCAACACCACCACCACACACACACACACACACACACACCAAACACTTCATTCTGGTATAACGACCACTTTTCAGTCTAATCAATTTTCTACGCCCAAAAAAAAAATTTCTCTCTCTCTCATTTCACAAATGCAAGATTATATTAAAGTCCTGAATCCCAAGGATGGATTATGGTCCTGTGAGGCCCCAGGGCACCAGTTTTTTGGAGACCCCCCAAAATTCATTGATTTTAATTATATTACTGGCAAACATTCAAACAGTGTTTGACTATCTATATAAATTTACATTTGCAGTGCCTTGCTTCTGGATGAGTCAGAAACCTCAGCTCAAGGGCCCGTGGCCCAGGCCATAATCCACCTCATAGATAGAACAACAATATTCTAAAAGGAAAAATTAAATAATTATCATTATTTATTGCCTTAAAAAAAATAATGTGGTTATCAGAGTTTGCTCCAAAATACCATAGTGACCACAGTACAATAAAATAAATTAATGAGATATACGTTCTGAAACCTTCTGAATGAGATTCATTTTAAATGTATTATAGTGTTGCAGTAGTAGCAACTGCTAAACGTGGTTTCTGTGGTGATTTTATACGACTGTCCCTCTAATCCCGACTTCCAATTCATTTTCCAGACAGTTGCATTGCTGACAGGGCATTAAATAGTAACCAGGCATCCTCCTCACGACCCATGCATCTCTAAAATCAACGTTAAAATCCTCTTAAAACCATGAACCGAACAGAGTCCTGCGGAAATTTCGCTTTATATCCGAGAGATCACAGAAAAGACCGAGTAAACAAACCAGTTAAACAACAGCAGACGTCGGAGGATATTATACAGGCGGAACAGTAAGATGTTGATTTTTGCGCTTGCTTTGCGAGAGCAGCTGTTCCGTCTGCTCGGAGAACTGAGGGGCAAAAACACAAAGTGAAAAAGTTCCTTGTTTGCTTGTACCGTTAATTAATTAAAGCTTCCTTCTTTCCTCCGGCTTCTTCTGCGGGTTTGAGCTGAAAGGAACTGACAGGGCAGGTTCAGACGTGACAGAGGAGGGTCTTTACACAGTTTGCTCACTTTTCTACTATGCTCTCTCGAGTCAATCCGGGTACTTTTCAGCTTTCCAGAAATCGTTCATTCCATAAGCCTCCTTTTCTAGCAGATACCTAAATAAGGCATTCTTGTTTACCTAGACATTTTTGTCTATCAGTGTTGTTACACACGATAGAAAGCGTCAGAGCGCATTATTTTTGTGAGTGTTTTGACCTTCAAACTTGACAAAAAGCTGTTTTTTAACGCAACTGGTTGGTTCCCTCAGCTGTACCTCGAGGAAAGCACGCAGTTACAAAAGTGACCGAAAGGGGGCGCGCGCGGACTACTCTGCCCCGGCCCAACATAAGGTCGACTTGTCCTGTAATAGTGTGTCATGTATCCACCCGCGAAAGCATTAAACACACTCCTCTTCCTCCTGATTTACATTTCGAGCTCCCGGTTTTTGGATTTCGCTTGTGACATTTTCCAACACTCTCATAGGAAGCTTAATTAAAAAAAAAAACAGCTGAGGTAAAGTTCAAGATTAGTCAAGTTGAACTGCAAATTGATCAATGAGCAGATAGCACAAGCAGACAGAATCAATTGATGTTTAGATACTCAGAGGCGGTGGAAAAGGAGGATCAGGCCTGGGGACAGACTCTCAGATCACGGCAAACACGCCGCACCACTAAACAGCCTGCTGGGACATGACAGTACATAGACTATGCCAATTACTTCTCTAATCCACATCACACTCTCAGATAGTCGTCTACAAAGCACACGCTAGCGAATACACAAGTGCACTCTCAGTGCTTCTGTGTGGCTGTCACACACACACACACCGTAGCGTGCACTCATAGGTTGTGATGGCTAATTAGACATACATGCTGTACATATGCTATTTGAATCTAAAGCTGTCAGAGGCCTCATAGTGCATTCACCCCCGACGTGCGCATGCTGATGTAAATACGCCCCTCCTTCACACACACGTGCACTAGCGGTAATGATGACTAATGTGTGACTGGTCATGGCTGCTTGCTTTATGTGGAGGATAGGTGTAACTGGATACGTCTTAAGCATCTCTGTGGGAGCTGCTGCCTTAAGGACACTGGCAGAACATCACGGTCATTGGAGCCTGTAATTAGTTGCTCTCTCATACTGGTCTACAATCACCCCCTCCCTGTTTTCAAATCAAAACCTTAGCGGTTATAAGAGTCGCAGTTAAACAGATCAGGTTATCACAGTCAGGCGAGACTATAATGAGCAGGTTTCACAGATACAGTGGCCCAGGTGATCCATCTACCGCGGATGCTTCGCACCTAAACGAGTCCCCGGGGAAACTTCCCAAATCCCTGTACACCTTGTGGGAGATTTGCATCTTCCCGGGGTGTCACCTTTCACCGGTGCGACACCTTTGCTACTCTTATATCCAGCCTTTGACCTCCTAGACGCACCTTCACACCCTTAATGTTCATTTCACCCCTATAGTTGTAGCAATGCGTGGCTTTCCGTTGATGATTCAAATGCATCGCAGGATCTTATTTCCACTTAGCAGGTCATCCACGTACACAGATTTTCTACATTAGCCTCAAAGTAGGTTTGTGGGTTAAATGTTTGGCCTCGGGGCATGACTACACTGGATTAGAACATCTAAAAGGGAATGTATAGCTTGTTTATGATGATTTGTTTAGGAAGATCTCATATTCTGAGGCATGAAATGAAAACGTTCACTCGAGGAGTGACCTGAACAGTTTTGACTAAACAAGGGATGCACCAATAAGGAGATTTTGGCAAATACAATAAACCAATAATTATTTTCATGTTATGGCCAATAACCAACAAATGGCTGAGAGTATAGAACTGTAATTTTCCTCAAAGTGTAAAAAAAAAAAAAAAACAATTCTAAGAAAGATTTGTTCATTTAAAAATAAATCATTACAAACTAAAATCAAAGCCACAATTAAATTTAGGGATCAGAACTTTATAATCTACAGTAAGAGAAAAGAATATTCATTTTGAGATTTGCATTACATTTAACAGGTAGTTAATTAGTAGGGTTTTCAAGATTTACTTTTGATGGCAAAGGTATTCTAAATGTAAAACTAGAGGAAATGAGCAGGCACAAATATAAAATACGGGCTAATATTCTTTAATATTATATAAAAAATACTCTAATGTTGGCAGATAATTGATACGGTAGCATTGTGGCGGGGAGTTTTCCACAGGCAAGCACCACTAACACTTTCTTCAGAATGTGTAAAAACTCTATTTACCTTATTATATGCCTCCCTAAAGGGCACAAATTTGCTTCAAATATGTTGGACGTCTTAATAGTGCCAGAGACAATATACAGAAATAACTGACGTTTACCATTCAGCTTAATTGATTTTCCTCATGGATGCTGTCTTGTAAAACATACAGAGTCCCGAATTCACAGTTCATCTTCTCTTCCAGCCTCTTCTGGACACCTTTAAGGCAGAGTATTGGTGTCCATCCAGTCTCATAACCCGCAAAACGCTCTGCCAGCGACAGGAGACGAGAGGCAGGGCGAATGACATTTACGGTACAATAGGCCCCTGATTTACTTTCCGTACGAGTCTGTAGACAGTAAAGCTCTCTCTCTCTCACACACACACACATACACACCTTTACTGCAGGGTCTTTTATGTGTTGGAGCCATTTCAGGACAAACAGTGAGGTTGGGCTCCGCCAGTTCATCATCATCATCATCCCTGACCCGTGGGTCCCGCCGGTCCCGTTTCACGCTTAGTCTCCCATATATGCTGGTTTCAGAGCAGTCGCTCTCACATGCATTCAAATTCCCATCATAATGAGAGCTTCTGGAATACCGCTCTGAGATCAGCGGTAAAAGAGAAGATCTGTCAACACCCCGTTGAGCTAGTTTGGATCCGAGTGCGTTGAGTGACGGACCTATGGCGCGTTTCCCAGTGCTTTTAATCCATGATGACTCTATGGGTCTGACCCGTAGCAGCAAGTAGGCCTGAAAAGAACATAAACATGTATTTCCTCCGTCTCTCCCTTTCTTTCTCACTCTCTCATTCATACAAATACTCACCCAAGGGTGTATAGTCTACAGGAGCGGAGGTCTGGATAGCTAAAAGAGCACAAACACACACAGACGCAGTTGGGGGGGAAACATGTTCACAATTGTCAGAAATCAGAGCGCCATCTGTTCTCTGTCTCAGATGTTTCCAGGCAGAGGCTCGAGGATTTTCCTGCGAGACGAAGCAAACCGGGCGGCCGACCCTCAGGGCGATCCCGAGTCAAGAACAAGGGTGTCGGGTGAAGGGAGCAGATGACAGAGGTGGTGTTTTTCTGTAACGCCGTCTGGTTAAAGCACACATAGGCAGAGAAATATACATAACCCATGCATGACATATTATTTTTTTTAAACTGAAACGGTTCAACATTTAAACAAAATATGTATAAAAAGGTGCATTTATTTTCATCATATTTAATGCACAAATTTTCAATTTTTCCATAATGTTATGCAAACATAAGTCAAAAATCAAAAACCGCAAAGATGTCCCGGCACAAAGATGCACAACGCTATTCTATAGTAGAAATTTGTTTCTACCAGGCACAGAATAATAATAAAAAAAAAATTTTTATCTCACAATTCTGACTTTTTTTTTTGCAATTGCGAGTTTATACCTCCGAATTCTGACTTTATATGATGTAGAGGCCTCAGAAACCCATGTACCTATCAAACATGCATGTGGGTTAGGGGCCATTGTGCAGCGATTTAGAGCAACAAAGTGACCTGAAATCATTCATTTTTAATAAGAGATGGGAAAGGTTGGTGAAGGCAAAGCTGAACACAATTCAACTTTATGCAAATGACCAGTGATGTGATGCAGCCAATGGGAGTGCAGAAAGTGATCCATCACCTGATACAGTAACCATAATCAAAATGGTATACATACAAATAAACAACAAAACCATAGCTTATATATATTATCAATCCATACCCGCGTGATGACTCCAACCTTCAACCAGATGGAACTGGATAATATTCCAATAATATCCAATCCAATCTGACCTGTAATGCTGCCTGTATAATAATAATCATACACTGTTCGTTCGTTGGCCAGTGAACTGGCCCCCCGACTGAGCCTGGTTTCTCCCAAGGTTTTTTCTCCATTTTGTCACCTGATGGAGGAGATTTGGTTCCTCGCCACTGTCACCTTTTTCCCGCCATTGGCTTTTGCTTGCTTAGTTGGGGACATTTAATTTAATATTCAACAATATTATTGATCTGCCTGCATTGACACTATTATATGAGAACTGAACTGAGCTGGACGATGACTTTACGGTTTTCTCCAAAACGGCAATATATATAAATGAACTAAATTAATAACTTTCTAAAAACAAAAAATCACTGAACTTACTTAAGCTGGACTGTGATGCCATTTTCTTCTGGAAACAAACTTTGTTGCATTATTTTCCTGTTATCTCTGTAAAGCTGCTTTAAAACAATCTGTGTTGTAAAACGCGCTATATAAATACAGGTGACTTGACTTGACTATGGACAAGTTTACTAATTTAGCACATTTCCACATCGTTCCAAACCTGTATGACTTGCTCTCTTCTGCTGAACACAAAAGAAGATATTTTGAAGAATGTTGCTAACTAAACAGTTTCAATTCCCATGCACTGACTTCCACTGTATGAACAAAAAATACAATGGAAGTCAGTGCGAACCGAAATTCTCAGCATTCTTCAAAATATCTTCTATTGTGTTCAGCAGTGGAAAAAAATGCATACAGGTTTTGATTGAATTGAGTCAATGATGATGACAGAATTTTCATTTTTGGTAGGGACTGTTTCTTAAATATCAAACGAGTAATTTACTCATTTTGAAGATCCAGTAGTCCAACAAATGAGGTTCATGTTCCATATGCACACATTATCTTAAAAAAAATGACACATTCTAGAAAAAAAGTTAATACAGTAAAATGAAAAATAACTTCTCAACTATTAGTCATGTAGATGTTTAAGTGTGCTGAATAAATTCCTGGACAAATGACATCAGGCCTATTAGCACTGACCTTTGACCTTTACTCTGACCAGCGCATACCGAGATAGCAAAACATTCACTAGGTGCACACTTACGAATCTTGGCAGATGCACTTCATCACCCATCAAGCATTTCATTAATACTACACACAACCTTCACATAACGCTTTTTCATTGAGGAGCATTTGTATGGGGACACACAGCTATTAGCATACATAAGGGTCATCCTCGACCTGCTCCATGCCGGATGCGAACCGGGGTCTCCGGCGTGGGAGGCGGGTGTGCTAATAAGGATGCTAAAGCCTCTAGCGTCAGTCGCTAGCACCTCTTGAGGCCAGGGGAGTGAGGTTTACACACACAACTCTTACTGGCCCCAAATATTCTGGCACCAAATATCGATATATTAATGAATCAAATCTCATTGAAAGTGTTTAATTTACTTAAAATACGGACTGAAAAACTTGCTGTGCTGTTTTCTAACAGTTTGAACTTGAATAAAGAGAGAAAACCCGCACTTAACCTTTTCCCTGGCATTTTGTTTTTTATAGTTAGACAGATATCGTGATGTATCATTATAGGATTGTCTAGCAATACATTGATTATCGCAGAATTGCTGTATCGTGATATTATCGGTCTCGTGATCCATGTATCGTATCATATCGTGAGGTACCCTGCGATTCCCACCCCTACTCCTCACTCCCACCCGGGTCACGGCACCAAATGTAACCGGTCCAACTCGACCTGCTCCCAGCGGGATTCAAACCCGGGTCTCTGGCGTGTGAGGCGCACGCGCTAACAAGGACGCTAAAGACCTCAGCCAACATGGGCGCACAGAAACAAGCTGCGAAGTCTCTGAACAGTCTGAGCTAACTCAGACATGATCACATACACATGCTGGTTTAAACAGGCACACCTTCCCAGACAGATGGACAGACACGCACACAGACTTTCTTCAGTTCTCACACTTTCTTGAACACACATGGTGATTTGCTCAAACAGATACACTCAGATACTGTTTTCCTCTCTCTCTCTCTCACTCACTCTATCAACAGAAGCGAGGTTAACTGGAGCAGTTAATTGCTCAGAGTGAGTCAGCGATGAGTGGAGTGTTTGGAAGTGGCACACACTCCTGTGCTGACAGCTGTCTTTATATAAACTGAACACTGCTCAACCCAGAGCGGCTTTCCATCCCAAAAAACCCGACCGGCACGGTTCTGCAACGCGTCTTAGATCAGCGGGGAACGGAACAGACGCCGGAGTGCCTCCCCCTCGCTCTTTCTCTCCTTCCCCCCTGCATCCTTTCTTCACATTGTCCTGCTGTGTTTCCATCTCCCTCTCTCTCTCTCAGAGTCTCTCTCTTTCTCCTCCTCCCTGCTCGGCTGCTGCCAGGAGCCCAGCTGGCACTGTCATGTCTGATAGCCTGGAACAGACTGGGCGTGCGGGGCGGGGCGGGAGGGGGGGTGATTTGACGACGCTGAAACGGCTACAGCACAATGCATTATGCATTACAGGAGTGTGTGTGCATGCGTGTTTCCCTGATGCGATAGGAGCACGTTCGTTTTGGCTTGTTGTGAAAAGCGTATGGTGATTTGGTGCTCAGGAAACATTTCTTCTTATTATCAATGTTGAAAACAATTGTGCTAGTTCATATATTTGTAGGGATGTAACGATTCACTCGCAACCGGTTGAAAATCGATAAAAATGTGTGACGATTCAAGTCGGTTGAAATGTTAAACGAATCGCGATACACGTTTTAAACAGCAGGGCGCGTTTACTATAGCCTACTGTGAAGTTGTGAACCTCGCTTTACAATAGCACAATAGCAGCGAGCACACACTGGCGTGAAGCTAGCGAGTGTTTTCACTTCATTCATGGAACTTGATCTTGTGTGAGCCAAGCTCAACTTCCATAGGAATGAACTGAAAACGCTCGGTTTGCTCCGCTCGCGCCGCACCAGTGTGTGCCATAGACTGGTGTGCACGTGCCGTCAAACAGTAGACATGGCTTTGGCGACGGCAAGCGTAGATGTTGACGTTGACTCATTCAAATCGGAGGTGTGGCGGCATTTTGACTTTCCGTAGACTAATAATAATCACCACCGTGAGTAACACCAGTCACCTCCGTTTTCATGTAAAAGTCATTAATACTACAATTGCGAGAGCCACGGAGATCACAAGGTGCATCAGTGTTTCCGTGGCAACCAGGTGTTGTATTTATTTTACTATCTCTTTCTCTAAATGTGTTTTTTTTTTACTCTTACTAGTGTAATGATACAAATTATAACAAAATTAGAATCTTGCCTTTATTACAATGTAAAACCCCTGTCAATCTGGTACTACTAATTTTACACAGTCTTTTACATAGTGTGCGAAGGTACCAGTGTCCAGCCTCTTGACCAAACAGACAGAAAGACTGAGTTGAAACAACCTTGAAGGGAATTTTTTTAATGTAGTTTTATTATTTGACAAATATATTTTAAATTAAAAAGAAATGTGCAGCATTTTGTCTGAGAAATAATAAAACGGACACTTTTGTCTTAAATCGCATTTGTTAAAAAAATCGTGAGAAAATCGTATCGTGAAACCAGTATCGTGAATCGTATCGCATCGTGAGATGAGTGAATCGTTACATCCCTATATATTTGCGGAAATCGTGAAACTTTATTAAGAAACTAATACTTTTCTTCTGCAAGGACGCATTCAATTCGCCTTTGGCTAAGCCACACCCTAGAATGTAGATTGACCAATCACAGCGCAGCCAAGAACGAGCTCCCACAGTGGTCCGACACTTTTTCACAGCGCTCCATTGACTTTAACACAGGTGTCTCATATTTTTGGTCTCGGCCGGCTATTACCGTCGTAGTTTTATCAAAAATATGGTTAAACGTTGTGCCTGGGGCATTTGTAACACAGATACGCGTTTCCCAGAGAGGTTGGAGGGGGGTGTCCGTTTTTTTTCCCTTCCCAAACCCGAAGTCAAATCCTGACAAGTGTCGTCTAGCACAGGGGTTTTCAAACTGGGGGCCGCCAGGGGGGCCGCAGCAAGTAAAAAAAAAAAAAAAAAAAAAAGTAAAAAAAAAAAAAAAAAGTTAAAATATTTATATTTATATTATTATGAGTATTGTAATGAAATAGCATTCTAATAATTTGTGCATAGCCTATCTGAACATTATACTTGTAATGCTAATCTTTTAGAGATGCACCGATTGATTGGCTGGTGACCGGAATTGGACTATTTTCATGTGATTGTCGACCGGCCGATCAGTCTGACATGCTGATTTTATGCCGGTCTAATGCACTCGGGCGCCGCA